CTTTATGATTACTAAAAGCACATACCAAAAAAGTCTTAGCATCTAAGATACAAATCTGGAATTCCAATATGCTTAATGATCCAAAACTCTCTTTTTGAACAGAGCACATCATGTTCTTTTATTTGATTACTTTTTTAGGGTGTTTTTTCCCCTCAATGTATATCCTATTACCAATGTTAAGTTTTTATCTAACACCTGGCAGTTTCAGATTATTTTTCTATATCATTTCATGAGTTTGAAGTTACTTTTAAGATACAACTAAATCTTAGCACATTATACTTTGATTTTTTTCTTTTTTAATGGCACTTTAAATAGACATTATTCTTTATTCCAAAAACATGACCTCTCTCATTATGTCTACCAAATGGTTTCGTAGAACATACCACTAATATTTAAAGAAATTTCATCAGTCATACCAGAAATTAGCTTAGTTAATGACAACATCATAACTACCTTTAAAGGAAAATATTCTCTAAATATGCTAATATTTTATCTATTAACTATTCCTCTTATTTTACCTATTAAATGCCATTGTAGAGATTAAGATTATTAACAGCTTTAGTTTGCTTGGCTCCACAATCAACACTCTTGGTACCAGCAGCCAGGAAATCAAGGGATGAATTGCATTGGAAAAGTCAGCTGTCAGGGACCTCTCCAGAGTACTTAAGAGCAACAAGGTCAGTCTGGAGACTAAGGTGCACCTGATCCAGGCCATAGTCTTTACAGTTGCTTGCTATGCATCAGAGAGCTGGACAGTGTGTAGGGAGGATAGAAGGAGAATTGATGCCTTTGAGCTGTGGTGCGGGAGAAGAGTGTTGACTATACCATGGACTGCTAGGAGAACAAACAGATTTGTCATAGAGAGGGTGAAACCAGGCTGCTTCTTGGAGACAAGGATTCTGAGGCTTCATCTGACATACTTTGGGCACGTTACAAGGACCAGTCATTGGAGAAGGTCACCATGCATGGAAGAGTGGAGGGACAGAGAAAGAGAGGAAGACCCTCAATGAGATGGATTGATTCAGTGACTAGGGTAATGAGGGTAGGTGTGTCAGAGACAGTAAAGTTGGCACAGGGTGGAGCAGGATTTAGGGCAATTGTACATGGGCTCATTATGAGTCACAAGCGACTCAACTGCACATAACAACAGCATCAGCGTATTGGGAAGAAAATACAGAATGGGAAAGAGGCCCCCAAAAGTTAGAAGTTAGTAAAAACAAGAAAGAATTGACCTTCATAATTCAGGTAAAGCAGGGTCACTTGAGTGGAGAGGTTTTTAAGAAAATATATGCAATACTTATTCAGGCCTTTGATGAGCTTTACAGATTTGCAGATATAAACTAGTACAAATTGTTCTTGTTGTGTACTGTACAGTTAGAACTGACCCAAAGCTGACCTTCCAGCAGGTTAATCACATGGGAAGAGATTGCCCATCCTTCTCCTGTGGAGCATCTAGTGGCCTTGAACTGTGTGCCTTCAGGATTGCTGCTCAGCTTCTTGCTACAAAGCCACCAGAGCTCCTTAGTACAAACTTAGATCTTAAAATTTAACTGTGGAAGATAGAAAGCAAGATATGAAATAATTCCAAAAGGAGTGTACAGATAGTAAGTGCTTTGAGAAGTCAGAGAAATGGAAAATCCGTGTGAGTTCAAGTCGTCTGGTGAGTGAGACCCAACTCTGTCTTGCAAGCCACGGAAGAAAGATGAAGTTGTTTTATGTTTGGTTGGTTGGTTTGGTTTGGTTTGGTTTTTATGGAGCCAAATGCTTAGCCACTGCACCACCAGGGCTCCTTATGTCTTTAAAAAAAGGTAGAAAATTTGGTTTCTTTTTTTCATTATTTATTTTATTTGACTGAAGCTTAAGAATCATAATGTCTTTTCATACAACCATTCCTAGATCTTTTGTCACATTAATTGCCTGTGGTGGTTTGCTTTGTTTATTTTTCTGACCAACCAGCCCTTTATTACTATGTTGTGGCTCTACAGGTGTTTCTTCTGTTCTTTTTTATTTAAATTATGGTGGGATAGATACAGCATCTAATTTGCCACTTTAGCCATGTCAAGTATACAGTCATGTTGCATCAGTCACACCCACAATGTTGGGAAACCATTGCCATATCTTTCCTAAAACCTTCTTTTCTCCCTGACCAGAAACTCTACTTTTGCAGCAGTAACTTCCCATTCCTCTTCAGACCCTGAAGATCGTTAGTCTACATTGTATAAATTTGCCTGATCTCTAGTTCATAAAATAAGATTGCATTATCTTTTAAAACTTTTGTGTCTGACTTCTTTCACTCAGCATAATGTTGTCAAGGTTCATCCATGCTGTAATATGTATCAGAATTTCATTTCTCCTACTGACTGGGTAATAATACTCCATTGTATGTATATATCACATTTTGTTTATCCATTCACCTGTTGATAGGCATCTCCTCCATTTCTGTGTGACACTATGTATTCCTATGACGAGGTTGTCACCTGCTTGCTGTGTTTCCAGTGCTCTGTACCTGTCAACTCATGCTTTTCTATCTTCCCCAGGTTGCACAGCAGAGAATCCTCATGCCTTAATGGTCAGCCCTTTCAAAGCATTCTCTCCTCAGCCACCAAAGTTTTTCAAACCTTTAATGCCTGTAAAAGAGGAGCATAAGAAAAGAACAGCTCTTGAAGCAAGGCCTCTTCTAAGCCAGGAGGTAAATGCTTGCCTTCTCTGTACTTTGCAGAATAGAAAGACACTCAGTGTTGCCTGTGGAAAAGTAGCAGTTTGCATTAACTAACCAATTGTATGATGCATGTGGACATAGATGGATTGTATCAGTCCAGGAATCCCATTCTGGAATGCCTCATTCATAAGCATGCAAGATTGTGGTAGGGTTTTTTCCCCTCTGACCTGATGGTGGTTTTATTTCATTGTGTATGCCTTTTACATGGTAATTTTTCCTTCAACTGAGAGAAATGTTTCTTGGACATTTGAAAAATATTAAAGGCAGCTATTTTTTTTTTCAATTTGATGAAGCCAGTTGTGTTTTTCTGCTACCAAAGCTCATTTAATCTTGCCAGATATCATCAGTGGTTTCACTCTAGCCTGCAAAATCAGTTGCTGCATGCCTCACTTGTAATAAAAGTGTATGCATTACTTTTCTAACTTGCACGTACTTACTAGATATTTTCACTGTCATCGTCTGTTGTGTGTGATGCATCTGTGTGTCTTAACCTTTGCAGAGCATGCCTTCATCTCAGGCACATAACCCTGGCTGCATTGTACCCTCAGGAAGCAATGGCAGCATCATGCCAGTAGAACTCAGTAGCAAACGTGAGAAGAAGATTGTAAGTTCTGTAACCATTTCTGTCATATTGCCTGGTGGTGGGTTTAAGGCCCTTTCACAACAATCATCTTTAGAAAAAAATTAAGATGTGCTTTGAGTGTCTTTTTGGTTTTTTTAAGTGACATTTCAAAACTGTGCTTGTTAGTCAATCTGTTCATTAATGACTTGATGAAATTTTGCATGTATGTGGTTGTGACCTGTGATTCTTTTAAGTGTTGATTCTGGTCTGTTGATTCATGTAGAAAAAAGGAGGAAAGACACTTGTAATGATTGGAGTCTTAATGAAATTATAGCAAAGATAACTCTTTATCTAATAATTGACATATTTCTAATACACCTATACGTATTACCCAGCTTCTGAAGTTAATCTACCTAGAGGAATTAAATTTACTTGGAGTAAGTAATTATGCTTTTAGCTGTGAGTGTGTTTGAAAGCTTTTTTATGTTGCTTGATGCTGTTTCCAAGATAACTCTGCATTTGTAGCCACACTCCCATCCATCATTACCCGTCATCACATCATCGCGGTTCCTCGGTGGCCTTTATACCCTGCTGGCAAAATACAGTCTGCCCTCATTGATGTTGGCCTTGCATTCAGGATGTCTTGTGTCTGTTTCAGCTCTGATTGGTTGAAATGTTGCCTGCTATGCCTCATTCCCTAGCACTTGGGTTTTTTTAAAAAAAATTACAGATTTGAGAAATGATTTTTTAAAACACCAGATGGCCGTATGTTTTTAAATTATAAATTAGATCTCCATTTTTAAATTTCTCTTTTAATTTGTGTATCCTCAAGTCTGGAAAGGATTCGGTAACAGTGTGTGTCCGCTCCCACTTTCACACAGCTCCCTGAGTTTTGGAAACGTAACACCAGCTTGAAGCAAGTTGGGCTACTGGGGGTTTACGTCTGCAGAGGATCTGCTGTGTTGGCGAGCTTGGGGAATCTCATTTCCCCAATTCCAGCATGCTGCATTCATTCCAAAGGCTCATTAGTGTGGTCGCCTTTGCCAGTTCCAGAACATGCTGCTTGTGCCCACTGTGTGAAACTAACCGGACCTTCATCCGGACGTGCAGTTGGCCACTCACCTGCATGCCTGGCTGCTGGTAGATCTTTAGAAGTGGCCTTCTATTCCTCCTGCCTACTGAAGAAAAGAGGAAAGCCACCATTGGCATACTTCTTCTTTCCCTCTACATTCTCTTTATCCTATATCCCAAAGCCTTGGTGTCCTAGTTCCTGGCGGAGGAAAATGAGCATGTCAACAGCAATCTTCTCATCCTAGAATCACAGTGAGCTGCCTGCCCGGTCATTTACTTGACTGCCATCTGCTTGGTTAAGAAGGGCAGTAGCCTGGACTAAGAAGGCCAAGTTGCTGGTGTCTTTCCCCTCCATATTCTCTGGCTCAGTGAATGATGGGGCCTGTCTCTTCATATGACACAACCAGAATACAGAGGCACTAAATGTAAACCTATTTTAAAAATACATTATGGTACAAGACAAGATACCATCAGGATACTGTGCCAGGTAACCCTCTGAGAATGATCAGCAAATAGTTTTACAACTCATAGAACTTTTTTTATCCTTTCCTTAATTGTTGTTGTATTGTGCTGTTGAGTCAGAATCAACTCCTTGCTGACCTTCCAAAAGGTTTTGAGAGGCAGCAAATCGCACAGGATGAGACTGTGCATCCTTCGCCCTTGGGACAGCTGGTGTATTCAAACCAAGTGCTTTGGGGATTGCCACACAGCTTACCAGTAGGCCACCAGAAAATTATAATTTCCACAGAATATTTTTAAAAGCAAACCACTTCAATGTTTTCTGTTAGAAGAGGGTATGATAGAACCAGATTCTCTTTAAGCTGCGATATCTCAGGCAGTGATGAGACTGTGTGACCAAATGTAACATGAAGTACATTAGGGAAGTTTTGATGGCACCGTGTTCCTTTGCAAGGACTCAGTGGAGACCACTGCCTCCACTCTCCTCAGAAAACTCACTTACCGTGCCTGCGTCTTCCCTAAAAAGCTGCTGGACTATTTCATTTATTTGTGATAATGATAACAACTTTTCTATGATATTTTGATAAGAGTTTAGGTACATTGCTTGCTTGATCTGAGATTTTTGTTCCTCTTTGGGAAATCGTATTTCCATTCTTATGTTGGTTGTTTTCTTTCTTGGCTCCTAATTCACTTTTCTTTCTATTCCATTGCTGAAAAATCCTGGGTTAATTAGTGGTATGGAGTTTGAAATAATTTTCAAGAATGTCAATCAACACATTGTTCCTGTTACTTTTTTTAACCCACCTAGTTTTTGTATTAAAGAGCTCTGGTGGCTTTGGACAAGAAGTCGGCTCAAATCCACCAGCTGTTCCTTGAGAGAAAGAAGCATTCTCTTCCCATAAGGATTTACAGCCTCAGAAACTCAGTGGTGCTTCTCTATAACATGGTATTGACTCCAATGTGGTGGGATTGGCTTTTGGTTTCATTCCTTTACTAAGTAACTTCATATAAATGTAATTTGCACTTGATTCATAATGTAAAATTTCACTGTCTGACCAACTTAGGAAGATAAAGAATGTACTTCATGTGTTATAAGAGATGGTAGATACAACAATAGTGTGCTATAAAGCCTACTTTTAAAGTCTTGTAGCAGAGATGATAGCAGAGAAAAGATCATCTCCCAGTACACACACTATCACCATTCAGTCTTTTCATTTTATAGAAGTAGAAACAAAGTTTTTAGTGATGTTTTAAATATCTAGTGCTGCTGTAACAGAGATAACACAAATGAATGGCTTTAACAAACTTATTTTCTTAGAGTTTATTGTTGTTATTGTTTACCATTGAGTCAGTGCCGACCCATAGTTGACCCTCCAGCAGCTTTTCAGAGGCAGTTAATTGCACAGGAGGAGACTGCCCATCTTCTCCCATGGAACAGCTAGTGGCCTCGAACTACATGCCTTCGGGATTGCAGCACAGCTTCTTGCCACTAGGCCAGCAGAGCTCAGGGCTGGAAGTCTAAGTTCAGAGTGCCAGCTGCCACAGGCAGGACCCTCTCTCTTGGCCATTTCTGGAGGAAGGTATCTATTTCCTTCAGCATCTGTGGGCCAGACTTTCCTTGAGGATCCCACATGTCCTAGTCTTCCCTGCATTGAATTGAGAATCTTCCTAGCATAGGAACTCAGGTTCCCAAGGATGCATAACACTCCTGGTGATTATTTCTTAGTGGCACTGAAGTGTCCGCTCCTCTTTCTCCACCCTCACTCCCCATTTTACTTTCCTCCTCTTCTGCAGATCACACACTAGAGAACCTTCCCCTACTATGCTGTGTTTAAAAAGTGTTTCATTCCACCCTTAATCCTTAACTTGGTTTATCAGTTCTTGGGGGAGAGTTTCATATACATGTGAGTCTTTATGTACATGTGTTATAGGGGACATAGTTCATTCCATAATTAGTGGCTTGCCCAGGTAATTAGTCACACAGGTAATGAGGTAGAGGAACAAGGAGCCGCCTCCTTCAGCAGAATAGACTAAGTCCTGATATTCCAGGTCCAGTTTCCAGAGATCTTGCTGCTTCACAGCTTTCTACCAAAGTGCTGCTTGCTCTTAAGGGCCATGGACAGAACTCTTGGAAGTCTCTGGTTAATGGTCCAGAACACAGACCATCTCTCTCGGATGGGTGGCCCAGCCCTGATTAGAGTTGGAGTGAAAATTACTCATAAAGTGAAACTCCCTGAAAAGTCACTGCATTGTGACTTTTGATCCCTTCTTAAAATCAAAATGTTTTTGCATTAGCTGCAGAAGTTAAATCATAAAGACACTAACTAGCACTAGAGAAGCTTGGGAACTTGACTCTACCCTCTGCTTTATTTCTATTTAAGGAATAAGAATAGTAAGAATTCCTTCATTTAGTCTTCATTATGGTATAGTGAAAGACTTTTATGCCTAAAATATTATTTATCATTGGCTTATATTGCCTGTTGAGAAAGTTCTGGCTTAGACATACAGACTTTTATCTCAGAACTACTCATTTTTTTTTAATTTTTTTTTTTACTCATTTTTTAAATATTTTTTTAAATACTCGTTTACATACAAAGTTCATATACATTGTTTTTCACACCCGACCTTCCCCCTTTCCTTTACAATCCCTCCCTCCACCCATCATATTGTGCAACCCTATATTTAAGCTCCCCCTCCCTTGGATCCTTGTACATGCTCTACAATAATAGTCCTATACAGTATTTGTCTTTATGAGACTAAGTTAAGAACTATTCAATTCATTTTTCTTAACGAGACTCCCTCAACATGCAACTTAAGCCAATGAAGTCTTCTCTTTTCTCCTGCAAGAAGAAACTTTCCATCTCCTTTTAAATCTTGTAAAATGTTTAGCATCTGTTTAACTTCGGTGGTGTGTGTTGTGATTTGTTGGGTTTTTTGTTGGTGTTTTTTTGTGAGGATGAGCTATCTCTACTCTTTTAGTCTTTTTCTTTGGATCATCTATTCCCTCATAAGCACATTATTGAGAAGTCCTAGTGGGGCAGTGGTTAACAACTCAGCTGCTAAAAGTCCACTATTTGATACTTATAATCTACTTTGTGGAAGAAAAGTACAACAGTCTGCTTCAATAAAGATTACAGCCTTGGAGACCAAGTGGAACAGCTGTACTCTGGTCTGTAGGATGACTATGAGTTGAAATAAACCCTCAAGTAGGATATTTTAAGTGTATTGCTATGTTTCTCCTTATTTGAAATGTTTTGGTATGGTTATTCTAATCCCTTAAGAGTAAGTTTTTAATCTTTATAATGTGGAAAATTTAAAAAAAAAATAATGTGGAAAATTCATACCTATTAAGTCTTTTCTGTTTGACTTCAGAATTTATTGTCTCCTTCAGCAAAGCTGTGGTTTAAGATACCTTGCTTCTCCTGAGTGGAGCTTTGGTGGCACTATAATGAAGGCATTTTGTTGCTAACCCAATAGTCTTCAGTTTTAACCCACCAGCTACCTTGTAGAAGTACGTACCATCTACTTCCATGAAGATTTACATCCTTAGAAACCCCCCAAGGCAGTTCTGCTCCGTCCTTCAGTGTTGCTCCATCAGACAGAAGCCACTTAATGACAGTGGATCGGCCCTCAGTCTTTAGAAGCATGAACTTCAGGCATAAAATGTATCCCAAATTTCTAATTCTCATCTGGAAATTTTATTTTCCTTGTAGCAAGTTAATTTTTTGTAATAAAACATATCAGGTGTTCTTGAACTTAGAGAATTCTATTTCTTTGCTGGCTTATGTCAAAAGGTAATCTAAAATATATAAACATAGAATTGAAATTCAGTTTTAAGTCTAAATATGACAATATGTAGAAAATATAAGTAATGGCTACTGATTCAGACAATTTTGTCCAGTCTGTATCTTTTATAAGCGTTCTCCCCACCTGGAGAAAAGGTTTTCATAAACCTGTTGTCATGGAGTCAACTCCAACTCATCGTGATCCAATAGAATGCCCCATAAAATCTCCAAGGCTGTAATCATGACAGAAGTAGATTGCCACTATCTCCCTCCCACAAACTAGCTGGTGAATTTGACTCAGTGACCTTTTAGTTAGCAGTTGTACACTTAACTACTCTGTCTTCAGTATTCTTTCCATTTCTTTTTAAATAATGCTACATAATTTTGGTCATTTTTTATTTTATTCACAATTGTCTGTGAGTTGATTGGTTGCCTGGATTTAGCTAACAATCAAGAATGGGCTGGAAACCTCTTGTTGACAATCAGGTGGGCCTTTGTATTTAAAAGTCGCTTGGGCAATTGGGCCTGGTATTAATTGTGTTTGGGAAGAACATTGTTCTAAGTGGTACAGCGCTGGTCTGTCAGTATGCTGTACTGAGATAACTTGGGGTTGCTATGGTAGCTGCAATACTTAATGCTGTACCACTGGTGTGTCAAATGCCGTAATGATTACTCATGGTGCACAGAGATTGGTAGAGCTCTCAGATTAAGACAGGCGTGAAAGCAGGATTGGCATCCACTTCTTAAACAGCAGGCCTTTGGAAACTCTATGTGCATTAGAGAAAGTAGGATAGTAATAGAACAGGGTTCAGATCTTTTGTTCATAGGGTTGCTATGAGTCATACTTGACTGAAAGGCACCTAACAACAAAAATTTAATTTAGAATTCCCTTAAAGATGAGACAACAAGAGGTGAGTGTTATCAAAAATTTTATGCTAATTTTAGGAAATTGATTGCTAACATTTAATATTAAAAAAATACTTGACTGAGTTGTGGGCTTATAATATTACATGTTCATGCTAAATTTCCTAAAATTAACAAGTAGCCATTCTTCATAACCAAAAGAAATAAGGCTACTGATGCTTTTACATAATTTATAGTCATCTTATTTTAAAAACTAGTCAGTACTGAAAAGAGAAACTTAACTTTTTTAAAGTGTTACCATCTTATCAGATGTAGAATATTCAATAGATGAAATGTCTGTTTATTTGTTAACGCTCATCTGCTTTGTATGTGACGTGACCAGTCTCTCAATCAGTCTCTCTGCCTCAACCAGTTTCTCTGCCTGCCTTTCTCTCCCTTTTTTTAACATTTTAAATGTTACTTTCATTAAGAAGATTGATATGTTGGTCCCAGGGATATACTGGCTCCTAATTTTTATGCAAATGCACGTATGAACATTTTCATTAATTTCTTAAACCAAATGACCGTGGAAGAGAGCTAACTTTTTTGTGGTTTCTCGTTCTCTCTACTTTGAATGACATTTCCTACATCCAAGCGCTACTGTGTGTCCAGGATTAGTCTGAAACCAAGGACCTAGCATTGTGGAACTGCCTGAGGGCTGGGATCATATCTATTTCGCATGCTATTGACAATCCAACTACTTAACAACTTTACTAGTACATAGTGGATGCTCAGTGGATATTAGCTGAAAAAGGTCACATTTAAAAAGAGAAAAGGGTTTTTTAAAAAAAAAGAAAGAAAAGGGTTTTTTTGGCACAATATCAGGTATGTGTGAAGTTATTAGAAATGACTAGATAGCAATACCACTAGTTTTACTTAACCATAAAATACCTATGTGTTTAAAAATATCTTCGATGAAGTTACTCAAAATAACTCATATGAGATTGCACACTCACTGTTGTTGTTTTCAGGTGCAGTTGAATATGACTCATAATGACCCTTTGAACAATAGATCTAAATCCTCTCCTGTCCTGTGCCATCTTCATCATCTCTGATACACTTAAGCCCATTGTTGCAAATACCATGTCAGTCTATCTTGTTGAGAGTCTTCCTCTCTTTTGCTGACCCTCCACCTTTCCAAGGATGGTATCACTTTCCTAGCAATATGTCCAAAGCATGAAAGACAAGGCTTTGCCATCCTTGACTCCAAAGGTCCCTCTGGCCATACCTTTTCCAAGACATATCTGTTCATTCTTTTGACACTCACTAATCTTTATAACAGAGCTCTGGTGGTCTGGTGGTAAGAAGCTGTCCTGCAATACCAAAGGCACACAGTTTGAATCCACCAGCTGCTCCATGGGAGAAGGATGGGCAGTCTCCCACCATGCAATTAAATGCCTCAGAAAACCCACTGGAGGATCAGCTGTGGGTCAATTCTACTCAAAGGCACATAACAACAGTTTTTATAAACAGCTGTTGGGCTTTCAGCATCTCCAAGGTACCAGAGATCTTGGTCAGACCACAATCTTCAAACCTCATTTTCCTGACTCTTTGGCTCCTCCCTTGAAACCTCTGAATAAAATGGTTTGATCTCAAAACAAAACAAAAAATCCCAGCTATTGGATGACCAAGGAGATTATACTTTAATTTTCTTCCTTTCTTGCCTTCTAGCCAGATCCTCTATTCATGCTCCTCAAAAACCCTAGAAAACTATTATTTTCACTTGGGTTGTTAGTATTTTGCAGGCTTGCTGTGTTTGACATAATACTAAGGATCAAGTTCATTACCATTGAGTTGACTCATAACTGACCCTGTAAAGTGATTTCCAAAGCTTTAAATAGCACAGGTGATTAGCCATCTCTTCCACCACCACCCCACCCCACCCCACCTCGAGCTGCTGGTGGGTTTGAACTGCCTGCCTTTGGATTGGCAGCATGACCCCTTGCCCCAGAGCTCATGTTGAAATTGTGCTCTTTATCCTTTTGTTGCTGAGGTCTTTATTTCACTGCCTTTTTCCTCCATGGAATAGCTCAGAAACTTTCCACAAATGACCTTTACTTTGCTTTTGAAAGGAAGGATTGTAAGAACAAATGGAAAGCAAGTCATCTCTGTTTCTGGAGGGTTCTACTTATTTAATGAACAGAGAAAAGATACCACAAATAAAGACTAATCATGAGCATCTAGTTAAAAGTCGCTGCACTTTGAGTTTCTCTCAGACTCTTAAAGCAGCAGAAGGAATGCTTTCTAAATAGCAATGAATGAACAAAGAAGAAATAGTTTCATATTAGGTGACAATGGATTTGTACCCATAGATATCTGAAGGTTTGCCTGTGTGGCAGGTAGTAGGTGACGTTTGGCCAAACTCAGAAAGAAAATAGACATGAAATGCATGAATGTAAATACCTTTATTAGGAAAGTGTCTGTCATTTCTTTCAACGGTATAGTTGCTTTAGGGAGTCAATGACTGATTTTTGCTTCATTTCTGTAGGACTCGGAGGAGGAAGAAAATGAGCTGGAAGCTATTAACAGGAAGCTGATCAGCTCACAGCCGCCTTATGTACCTGTGGAGTTTGCTGACTTCAGTGTTTACAACGCCAGCTTGGAGAACAGGGAGTGGTTTTCTTCTAAAGTAGATTTGACAAACTCACGGGTTTCGGAAAAAGAAGTGTCCCGTAGCCCTACCACCAGCAGTATTACCAGCGGCTACTTTTCCCATAGTGCCTCCAATGCCACTTTGTCCGAAATGGTGGTCCCTTCTAGTGACAGCTCAGATCAGCTGGCCGTTCAGGTGAAGGATGCAGATCCCCAGGTGAAGGATGTAGATCCCCAGGAGCACTCCGGACCATCACTCGTACATGAATGCAGAACTTCATCAAACAGAGAGCTGACCGAACAAGAGAGAGGCGTGGTGAAGGAGAAATTAACCATGGTTCCACTCAAGGAAAACAGTGCCTTAGCCAAAGGGAGCCCATCATCCCAAAGCAACCCTGAGAAGATCTCCAGAAGACTGTGCAGGACCGGATCATGTTCAGAACTCGAGGCCTGCCCCAGCAAAAATGGCCCACCGGCCAAGGAATTCTCCCCCAGGGAGGTGACCATCGAACACACCACGAACATCCTGGAGGACCACTCTTTCACAGAATTCATGGGTGTGTCAGATGGGAACAACTTTGACGGTTTGACGGATTCTTCCACTGGAGAACTTTTGAAGCGGAAGAGCCTGCCAAGCAAAACTGGTGGTAAGAGTGTCTCAGATGCGCTGCAGGACCCTGGCCAGCTGCGTTCTGCATCAGACAGTGACCAGGTAATGAAATCCAGGGGCAGCCCTTTGGACTCTGTGCTGTTAATGGGCATCCTTTAGTGTATAGCATCCCAAACAGGATGTGCATCCCACTAAGATAGTAGGAAAGACTTACCCTTATGTTTCTGAAAGTGAAAGTGAGCCTCCTACTGAGGTGATGCTACCTGGGAGAGTAGCTCTATTATGGAAACAAAAGCTGGGACCATGAGATGCCCGAGGCCAGCAGGTTAGAGCTGCCACAGGAGTTGGCCTTGAGCTCAATGTACACATGTCCATTCAGGGTAAAGATCAATCTCGCATTCATTCCCTGAGGTGTTCATTACATTTGTGCTACTGGCATAAAGTTAAATCCTCAACCCCTAGCCAAAAGGTTGGCCATTTGAATCCACTCTGAGACCCTTCAAAAGATAGACCTGGTGATCTGTTTTTGGAAGGTCTGTGGAGCACAGCTCTGCTTTCACCCATGTGGAGTCAGAAATAACGTAGCAGCAGCCAGCAACAATCTAGAGGGACCGACTGACAACTACCACATTTCAGCAAATTGGATTCTTTTGGTTATTCCATGTGCCACTATTTTATGTATCCTTAAGACAGGAAGAAAATACTGCCAGTTGAACTTTGTTGTATTACCAGTTGTATGGCACATACAGATATCAAAAATGATAAAACACTCATCTCAGAATTGATGAACAATAGTAATTGGGGATTTTGTTTTTCTACTGTGATTGGAATGAAAATTTACAGAGCAAATTAGTTTTCCATTCGGCCATTTATGCAGTTTGTTTTATGACATTTATTATAATCCCCATATTGAAACAGCACTCTTTAACACATCCTGCTTTTGAATCTTGTTTTCATTAATCCTTCTTTTTTACCCATTCCTGCCCTAAGAGTCTTAAACCTAGGCATGCTACCTTTGATCTTCTATGGGTGATTGTTCTAAGAAAGGAGTACTTAACTGGTGTTATTTGTCACTTGTTGTTGTTGCTGTTAGGTGCCATCAAGTCAACTCTGACTCATAATGTCTTGTGTACAGCAGACCAAAACTTTGCCCAAGCCTGTGCTAGCCACACAGTCTCCACTATATTTAAGCCCTATTGTGCAGTTACTACACCGGTCCATTTGATTGAGGGTTTTTCTTTCCTTGACCTTCTGCTTTTTCAAACATGATGTCTGTCCCTAAGAAATGACCGTTCCTGACAACATGCCAGAGTATGTAAGATGAAGTGTCACTATCTTTGCCTCTAAGGAGCTCCCTCACTGCACTTCTTCCAAGATGGATGTTTGTTCTTTTTATGATCCATGGTTTATTTAATACTTTTCACCAACACCATATTCAAAGACATAAATATTTCTTTGTTGTTGTTATGTGCCATCGAGTTGCCTGTGACTCATAGCAACCCTGTGTACAACAGCCCTGAACCCTGCTCTATCCTGTGCTAACCTTACTGCCTCTGACACGCCGATCCATTACCCCTATCACTGAATCAATCCATCTCATCTGGGTTCTTCCTCTCTTGCACTGCCTCTCCACCATTCCAAACATGATGTCCCTCTCCAAGGACTTTCCCTCCTTGCAACATGTCCAGAGTAGGTCAGACAAACCCTTAGAATCCTTGCCTCTGAAGAGCAGCCTGGTTTCACTCTCTCTAGGATGAACTTGTTTGTTCTCCTGGCAATCTATAGTATAGTCAGTACTCTTCTCCAGCACCACAACGCAAAGACATCAATTCTCCATCATCCCTAGTCATTGTACCTCTTTTTGACACATAGCAAGTAATTGCAAATACTGTGACCTGGATCAGGTGCACTTAGTCTCCAAACTGACATTGTTGCTCTTCAGTACTGTCTTCCTTACCCCCTGTTCAGCTTTCACATTTAAATTAAGCAATTACAGATACCATGGTGTAGGTTGGGTGCACCTTCGTATTTAAAAGGACATCCCTTTTCTCTTTCTTACGTTCAAAAGTGACAGCAGATTTTCCCAATGTCATACTTTTTTTTTTTATTTCTTGACTGCTGCTTCCTTGGTATTGATTGTGGATTCAAGTCAAATGAAATTGTTGGCAACTTCAGTCTTTTCTCTGTTTAGTTCGAGCCACTGGGGTGAATTCAGCTCTAGGCTGAAAGGACTGCTAAGAGCCATAGTCTCAGGGGTAGCACCAGTCTCTAGCCGACCAGTAAGCATGATCATTTTTGTGAGTGAAATACTATCATTTGATGCTAAAGGTAGAAAAGTACTTGAAAGAAATAAGTAAATTCTCTGAGCAATTTTTGGAGGTTACACTAGTTGACTTAAAACATTTTTGTATTGGAGTGAAATGGATTTCTACTAATATCCCTGAGGGAGGTAGCTAACAGTAAGATTTTTTGTATCAGAGACTGCTTCTGAATACCATTATCTTCCCATTCTCTCTCACTTTTTTTACTTTCCATACTCAGCTGCCTCTGAGTAAGAATAAGAGAGTAGAAGTAAAGATGTAAAGAGTTCCTTTAGTTTGGGCTCAGAAAGTTAGCATTATGGTTTGATGGAGTTTTCCCCCTTCAACATTTTCTCCTTGTTTTCAATACTTTTATTATTAACTGCTGTCAAGTCCACCTCTGTCTTGGTCCAGGCACAAAGTTGCTGATCTGACCATTTTGACCCATGGTATTTCTGGAAGGATAACACCAGACTGTTCTTCCTAGTCTTTCTGAGTCTAGAAGCTCCTCTGAAACTTGTTTAGTGTACAGGAACACTCAGAGTTCCACTAACAGCAGACCACTGGTGTGAAAAGGGGAAATTCTACCTCAGAACCAGAGATAATTCTCTTGGTTTTGATACTACCCCTTCCAATTTCAGTATGTGGTCTATTATGCAGCATACTCATTTTAAAAACTGGTAATCCAAAATCAGTGATCTCTTAGAATAACAAAATGACTCTTTCACCACCAAAATGAAAATAATAGTTGCTCATTGCAGTTTTTGCAAACTAAACATTCATTTGTCTTCCTTAATACTGTGCCTGAAGCAGAATCAGCGTAGCTGGCCTACATCAGCTTCTCTGTCATTCCTCCCAGAAGTTCACACCCAGTCAAGCATCTCTGTTCTTGACTCAAGAGCAGTGCCCCTTAAATTTAAATGTGCTTTAGTCTTTGTCCATGGGGGTGGGAGAAAGTGAGTGGAGTCACTTTCAAAGATGTGTGGAACAGACTTTATAAGGTTAATAACACCATCACCACCATTTCCATCCACCACCACTCCACTTCCAATACCACCACCACCACTCACACCACCCACCATCACCAGCACTATCACTACTGCTATTCCTGCCACTACCGTACCACCACCACTACCCACTACCACCATCACCCATCACTGCCCCTACTCACTACCTACCACCCACCACTGTCGTTCATAGTTCTAGCACTCATATCACGACGATCTTCCAACATTTATACCATCCACTGCCACCACCCCCAACACCCACTGCACCGTACCACGAGCAGCGCCCCATGCCCACCACTATCGCCATCCTCACATGCCACAACCCACTGCCATCACTACTTCCACTACCACCTCAACCACCACTGCCCACTCCACCACTGCCACCCTGGAATGCAGGAACTCTAAGGCCTACATTGTAGCAATCGAACATTCTAGAAGAGAGGCCACAGCCGCATTCTGGATTATTTAGAATCCAACAAGTAGGAAAAGGACTTGTTCAGCGTTTTTTAACAGTGCCAGAAGAGCTAATCATTGCCAAAAAAGTCTTGACTTAAAAGTGGAATTTACAAAAATATTTTTTGTACCAGGATTGATGGGCTTATGGAGGTTTTTAAAATCAATTTCAGTCATTTTATTCTGGGGATTTTGTAATTTGCTTCAATAGTTTTAAGGTCTAACTGGTAACCATTCAACATGGTAATAAGTTGCACTGCCAAACCAAAGACAGATGTTTTGAATCCACCAGCTGGTCTGCAGGAGAAAGATGAAAAGTCTCCTTCGGTGCAATTTACAGCCTCTGAAAACTCGCTGGAGAGTCAGCCATGAGTTACTTCTGACTCGCAAACACATAAGAACACATTTTGACTGGTGGAGAGCCTCGTGGTTCAGGGGTTGTGCAGCCATCCCAAAAGCAGGCAACTCAAATCTACCTGCTTCTCCCAGGGAGAAAGACAGACAGTCTCCCTCCATGTGATTTACAATCTGTAAATCTCCTGGAGGGTCAGCGATAGGTTAGTTCCAACTAAACAGCACATAACAACAGTAGTTTTATTAAGATTGTTCTTACCGTGAAATGACTTCGAATATGGGTCCAGAAATACATTTTTGCTTGAACGTTGGATGTTGCTATCATTGCTTATCCTGAAAGCATTACTGTGAACCTAGGTTTCTCCCTTGTCTACTATAAATATCAAGAATTTGTTCCACAAGAGACCCCACCTCATTGGAGACCCCACCCTATGGATCCCTATGGGAGAAATACCTACCTTCTCGCCTGGGCAGTAAGGGATATGGAGGCGATGGGCAGGGAGGTGGGACGAATACTTGAACTCATGGAGCATCTGTCTTCCAGGGGACCACAGCTGCTGCAACTGCACGGTGAAGGCAGCAAGCACCTCAGGCCCTGGCCCAGCATTCATCCTCGTTTCAGCCGCCAAGCACCAGCTTCCACCTTCAACACCTGCGGCCCTGCCAGACCTCAGACCAGCTCTGGCTCAGAGAAGAGACCCTTCTCCTGGGCCACCTCCTTCCCCTTTTCGAGTGAGTGGGAGAAGTGGCCCTTTGTCACTCGGGTGAATCGGCAGCCTCTGCTATTTCTAGATGGCAAAAGCACCGAAAATCCTGGATTTTATTAAGTGGCAGTATTTTTGTTTGCACTTCCTACACACCCTTACCGTGTAGAAACCTCTGCAGATTTGAACAAGTCAACTTTATTCTTCTACACCCTTAATCAATTCTTACCGTAGACTGGGGAGTTAATGCTCTAATCTTTTTTATAAATAATATATATATAATGTGTATGAAATGTGTATCTATAGTTTGTCTGGAGACAGACAAGG